TTCTATACGCTTAATTCGAACTTTGTACCCGTTTTGAAGACATTACATTTTAATACATACTTTAGCGTCACTTTGTAGTTATCAAAAAGGTCCGTCTACCCTGAAAAAAACGACTGCGGTGTTACAAATTACACCGCAAGTCCTATGCACATAGCTGTCAATTATTATGCCATTTCTGTACAGTCACAGAAAGATGTACTGTGCAAGATATCGATAGCAGCATGTTTTCATATATATATTGGCATCATGTTGAAGCTTTCGAAAAGCTCCGTCTGCCCTAAAATAACCGGTGGCTTCGCATTGAAAAATCTGGTGATTATAGGCACTGCATCATGCTATCAGGTGTGGGTGTGGATGGCTTTTACCTAGTTCTTATTCATAGAATGCCATGAATCGTTTATTTTTATGCTTTAGCCTTTCTTATTGCATTTTAATTTCGATTTGACTTATAAAAAAGAGGATATTTATGGATTTATTATCATACGCCAGTACCAAAGATATAGAGAAATGCACAAACAGCTGTTTCGGTGGTCATGAAACACAATAAAAATAGATAAAAATGGCACACATACAAACAGAAAAATAAGTTCTTCAGTAGAATGCTTTCTATTTCGATGTCAGAACCTCTTCAGAAAAATAATCTATTCAAAACCGGTAGGAAAACTTTCTAAAACGTTCTTCAGTTTGCTGAAACTAAAATTCCTCTAAAACAAGTGGTCTATAGGATGTTGCAAATTGAACTTTCTGGAATAGACTCTTGTGAAGATTTCGGTCGCTGTTCAGCTCTTGCCGATTCTTTTCGGTGCGATGATGGACGCTGATGGGATTCAGTCTGTTTAGTAGATTTGTTCGCAGACTCTGGTCGTATTTCAGTTGGCTTTACTTGTTTTTCGACGGGTTTACTATGTTCAAGTTCGCTCTCACACTCATCTAGTGAATCTTCATCAAGATTGACGCACGATGCAAATCGTGCACTCGTTTCTGCTGCATCGAAATCCTCAAGTAAACGATTTCTGATCTCATAAACTTTTACTTCAGTCGATGTTTCCTCAATAGATGACATACGCATCAATAGTTTGCATAGCATGTGATTGAGATTACCGACACATATGTACGAACTTTGAGAAGTATTATCTTGATGCAACCATAGCTTGTTATTCGAATGAGAGTCCTCAATGGTGTCAGTTAGAAGATGTTGTACACGACGCGCAGATATCACATTACACTGAACTAATCGTTCAAAAAGAAGAGCAGTACCCCAACGTTTATTCAACGATGGTGATCGGAGATGTTTAGCAAGTTGCAACACTGCTGGTTCCCATTGTTCCAAGATTGGTTTCAAATGTATCAGGATTGGTTTCAATTCCTTCTCGGCTGATTTCAATGGTGCTTGTCTTGACTCGAGCTCGGATAGAACTTCTTCTAAGAATTTTCCTGCTGATTCAAGTTCAAGCAGTGCTGATCTTAATTTATGTAGCTGTGACGGCAATGGTTCTCTCGTTGACTCGAACTGTTTTATGACGTGATCCACTTGCTGTACAGCCATGTCTCGTTGGGTCAAGCCGTTGGGCTTTCGAAAATATTTGATAGAATCCAGACAAGCTGCTTGAGTTGTAGGGCTTTCAATCAATCCATCAATCAATAGTTCACAAATCTCGACTGTGAATTCCCCCAAAGTAGACAGCAATTTAATGCAAGCATTTCGTTGTCTGTAGTCATGTTGCTTACTGGTACACAATAGTGCTTTCTGAAGATTTTCCTTGTAAGACATCTCATCAAGTTCAACAAAAAAGGCTGACGGCATTTCTTCAACAAGTTCGCAAGCAATTGGAATAAGGAATAATTCATCAAACTGATCAGATTGTTCTGGATAAGGTTCAAGTTGCTCTGTAAAATTCTTTATCGATTCATATAGTTCGTTAATGTAAATTTTCAATAAAGCAGGACTCGCTTTAATTAACTCAATCATACGTTTCGAATGCTGTTTCCATGCTTCAGTATCAGATCGATCAATATTCACCCGACTTAATGATTGATAACAACGTCGATGATCTTTTTCGATAAATTCAAGAAGCTTTTCGACATTTGGACATACTTTTGCCAATTCAATGCTCGCAGCATCTTGAACGTGTCTCGAACTATGTTTCAACATTTGACAACAAAGAGATTCGATTTTTTTGACGTTTTCATCATTTTTGCTTTTATCGTTTCCTTTTTCATTATCGTGTTGGTTTTGGTTGGTACTTTTAGGTTTATTGAACGTACACGAAAAGCAATAGGCACGAATGCACATCACTAAGGTTTTTTCGTCGATCGTATTACTTTTTTTTGAGTCATTTTGAATAATAGTAAGCAATATTTCTTGCGCTTTTTGCGTATTACTATGACCTATTACAAAAGCTGCACTACACTGAATATTTGATGGAATATTTTCTGTTAATTTATTCGATAGTAACTGCTGCATCTTTTCAATACTGTTACTGTCAATAGCGGATATCTTAGCACACCACGCAAAAATGCCGGCATACGTCAACTTATATGTATTACGGTTAGATTGACCCGGCAAATGGTCAATAAAAAGTTTTAGATGATTTGTAAAGTGTTCCATAACGTCAGGTGCGAAACGAATGAACCAAGAGACAATCCAACAGCAATTGTTAAGCAAATTATCTTGTACTTCTGACTTTGATCCATTTGTATTATTACTTGATTTTCTCTGAACACCAGTCCCGATTATTTCTAACAGGATAATGTTATCCAAATGCTCTCTATTATCAATTGTCAATTTTTCGAATAGATCACTCAATACTTGCGAAGCATACGTGGATTTCGTTACATACGAAACAAAACGTTCGATAAAACTAAATAGAACTTCCCACCCTAGTTCACTACTTTTCCTTTCGCTTTCATTTAAGAGACATTCGGCCTCGTGTCGAAACCTATCATTCTCATTAAGGAGAAGATCACAAAGAATATTCGCAATAGCAACTGTCCACACGCCGGATCTCCCCAAAATGAGAGCAGCGTGGCATGTGAGAGCGTAACGCGGATGCTCCTGTTGATAATTCAACCATTCTGCAATAAGACGTCTTGCACTGAATTCGCATTGGTGAAAATTATGCAATTCTGTTTCAAGTATAGTTATCTCACGAGCAACTAGACTTGCATCATTTAATGAATCAAGCTTCTTTCTTATGGCAAGGATATGTGAATTAGTTAAAATACGCTGTTTTTGAGATCGATCGGTTGTTTCATTCAACAAACGACTGGTATCGTCTTCAATTAACTGACGATTACCTAACCAGTTCGACAACTTTTGAACATCACTCGATAAATTAGCCAAATAAATACAAGCACAGAGAGTGGATATCGATTGAAACTGATCTTTATTACGCAAGATACGATGTGAACTTGACTTCTGCTTTGTGAAATCTTGGGCGAAGTGCAAAAGTAGAGAAGAATCAAACTGAAGCACTTGCGCACGCGCAAGCACAGGAGATTTTTCAAATTTTTGAAGGCATCGATTGAGTCGTGGTGAAAGACCAGGACTCAAGCTGATACAAGGACCAAGTGCCACGCAAATGGCTCGCTTCTCGTCTTCATCTGACAAATTATCTATTCGATCCAGCACATGTAAAATCTTCTGAATAGTATTTTCATTAGCACCTACTAACGAGATATGACGATCGATAGATAAAACCAAGAACATTGTTGTCAAATCAGATGGGAGCTCAGAAAACGTTGTCATCACTAAATCATATAATCTTGTTTGCAATTTAGTACAATCTGCAAAGGACTCCTTGTATGAGCGAAGGAATGGACACAGTGCAAGGATATTCAACGCGTTTAACCGTATCATTGAATCTGTGATTGTTGTTACTGCTTCAATAGATTTTTCAAACAAACTTTGTCTGTTTTCAGATGATGATGACCAGCATAAATACGCCAAAGAGACAGATGCGACAAAAATGTCTCCATTCACATTTTTTTCTGATTTGGACGATTTTTGCTTCTCGAGAGCATCATATAAGCAACGTTTCACTTCATCCATGGCCAGTTGGAGACCACGTTGTACTTCTGCATCAGAAATTTCAACACGATCAACTTCAGTAAGTTTATTATGGCCATCAGTGTAGGAAAAACGCTTGGAATCCATGGGTCGTTTCATTTCTTCAAAATACCATTTGACAGCATTGGGATCATAATTCGACATCTCATTGGTCCAGTAGAGAAGAGCGAGTACCATATACTCGAGTCGATAGATGCGAGCAAGTGGTAGCAAAGCCACAAGAGCTGATTGACAGGCATAGGCAGCAGGTATTCTACAGACTGAGAGCAAACTAGTGCAAAGGACGTGAGTAAATGATAATGTATGTACATGATCCTTGGTTACAACTTGTTTTCCATCGTAACTTGTAACCACAATATATCCTTCAGTGATGGCGTGCGAAAACAAAAGCAACAAATGCTTCGGAACAAATGTAAGAGCAAATGAATGGTGTTTGTCGTACTCGAGCAGCATTGAACATTCACCTTTGTGAATGGTAACTTCTGAGATGTCTGCACCATGATGTTCGTCGTCGAACGTCCAAAGTGTGCGCAAGAACATTGGAAGAGAAATGTTTGACATGGATGAATGAGTAGAAGTACAATGGAGTAGCTGTTTCCGGTTTTCTTCTTTTTCGAAAAATTTCGGTAGAAGTAAAAATCGTTGATCAGTTTTGCAACACCATTTATTTGTCAAAGAAGTTCGTGTTGATGTGCAAAGTCGTGCACGTCCACGACAGATCGAATCGATAAACACGAATAACGTTTCTAGCTGTTCAGATGATGACTCTAGAGAACGACCTTTTTCAACTAACTGATACCAATTCATGAATAAATCAATCAATTGCGTAGAATCACGATTGATTGTGCAGTTATTATACATCCATTTATCGAAATTATCAAAATTAGACAAAAGACTATCATTACTACAGATGCTTTTTTCGAATCGATCATAAATCTCAGGAATGAAATAGAACTGTCGAAGATAGTTGGAAATTCGTTTGAATCGATTTATTGCTAGATGAAATGCTTTATGGTGAACGAAATGCTCGAGTAGCCAAATTCTATCGACACCCATGGCACAAAACATGAGAATGAACGTGTCAACAGCTTCCAATGAACAATCATTGGGAGATATTTTCTTTGCATGCTTCTCAATTTGATTCATGAAGTCAACATGCGCATCAGATGCATTGTTTTTCTGATCAATACGAATATTATCAATGAGAAGCGACTCGAGGGGTGATTCGCGATGCATATTTTTTGGTAAAAAAGTTACAATGAAATCGATCGATGTAACCATATCTCCGTCATAATCAAACGATCTTTTCTGATTTGTCTTCTTATCTCTGTTCGACAATGTCAATCCTCCACAGAGGGCAATGATACTTGCTAGAATTGGCAAATTTAGTTTAGTCAAACAGCTCGGGTTCTCGTTGAAAAATCTCCGAAGATTGTTCGCAGGTAGAGCTTGCCAATTTGTAATTGCAACCTTGGAAAGTACTACATCAATTAGAAATTGATTTTCAATCGTGTCATGAGGTAAGTACTGTGATAATAGTTTGTAAATCTTCTCAGTAACCCATTCTTTCATGAGCAATCTATTCTCCATTCCTTCGTCCGCTTTCGCAACTCGTTCACATTCTCTCAACAATGTACACAAGGTACTAACCAACTGGATACTCGGCTTCTCAGAAAGAACATGAAGAATCCAGTTTTCTATTATTGTTTTCGATTGTTTGAGCAAGCCAACAGCAATTCTTCGTTCGAGATCAGGATAACTTTGATGCCAATTTCTCGTAGACGATACTGATAGAAGACTATCGAAAGCAGTAAATATCTTGTCATCTGACGGCATTTTTGTCAACTCGTCCCTGGATGTGATAAACATTAGAATTTCGAGTGGAAAATAAGTCGATAAATGATTTTTTGATGTGAATAGTATTTGACAAAAATGATCGAATTCTAGTTGCTCCCATTTCGAACTTACCCAACCCAAAGCTAATATAAGTGGAACGCGATATCGTGGATCTGTAATATGTTCCTGAAAGATTTGCACTAGCTTTTGCGGGCGATTGTTCTGTTTCTCGATTTCTTGTATACTTTTCCCCTCGGAATCCTCTGCACTCGTTCGCTCGATATCTACTATACTCTTACATGTATAATACTCTTGCAATGTCAAATGTAAAAATCCGAACATATTCTGACCACGCTCAGCAAGAATACCGGCAATCTTTTGAAAGTCATTAATGCAGTCAGTTGCCATTTTCTCTCGTTCAGCTTCAGTTTGTGACTTCGTTAATGTTTCAAGCCATTCCTTACATACTAGTTTCAAATTCGTTTTTTCAATTAATCCACTTGAACATTTCTTATGAATATAATTTGCAATAGCCCGTAGAAGACGATCACAATCATTGTCTTTGGCCAATATGCCACTGGCTTCTCTACTTGCCCACAATTTTCTCATCAATTTGGCTATTTCATCGTACAAGAGGATGCGTTTAGTAGGTAGTTCTGCGCCTCCTTTCTGAAACGCGATACGACAAATGAAATTCATCAAACATGGATTCGATGCCATTTGCCGTAAGCCTTGATTATTAGGCTTTTCTAATTGTACTTTCAACAGCGCAGTTTGATTTTCGCAAGCTATTTGCATTTCTTCATCTCGAATATTGAGTTTTAGTAGACTAATCATTTTTTTGTGGATTGTCTGAAACCAATGATCAACAAATTTCTTCATGTCGTCTATTTCCATACTTAGGATAGTATGATGAGAGAAATGCCCACTCAATGGCTGTGCATGATAGCCTGCAATTCGACTTGTGATGATGAGTTGATTTCCGCCGGCTTCAGACGGAATATCGAGTTCCTTGTTGAAAAAATGATTGTCCACGTTGGAAACATAACTAGGTGTTTGGACATACTCTTGTACAAACCCTTCTACCAAACGTACAATCTTCTTTCTTGCTTCTATTGTCGAGATTTCGTCAAGCCCATCCAAGATAATGAGTGCATAGCCTTCATTAATATAATCATGGAGTGCCTTTTGCAACTGTTCCTTTCTATTTGTCTGTTCTGTTTCTTCTGGTGTCGAAGTGAAATCAA